CTGCTCTCGGGACCGGGGACCGCGAAGCAAATATAAAAACGGCACCAGATGGACCCATTGGAGGGGTCGGGGAGCAGCTGCTGAGCGGATTTTGCCTCACCCTCCCTCCCCCTTGGATGAGAATGAGTTCAGACCCCGGGGCCGCCTCCAAGAAGCAGGCCGTGGAGCTGCTCAAGTCCGTCGGCTGCGCGGAGGAGCTGCAGCGCGTCATCGATTCCAAGAAGGTGCGCGCTGGCAAGGGCAAGATGCGCAACCGCAGGTACACGATGCGCAAGGGCCCCGTGGTCATCTACGATGAGGACAACGGCATCGTCCGCGCGTTTCGCAATGTCCCTGGCGTGGACACCATGTGCGTGACCCGCATGAACCTCCTGAAGCTTGCGCCCGGTGGCAATTTCGGCCGTTTCGTCATCTGGACGGAGGGTGCCTTCAAGAAGTTGGACGAGGTCTTCTCTACGAAGAAGCACTACATCCTTCCGCGCGCCCAGATGGAGAACGCGGATGTGGCGCGCATCATCAATAGCACCGAGGTGCAGTCCATCCTCAAGCCGAAGTTGGAACCCCCGAAGAGGTTCGCCGTCAAGAAAAACCCGCTGAAGAACTCCGCCATCATGGCGAAGCTCAACCCCGGGGTGCTGCACAAGCGGGCGCTCAGAGCGAAGAGCCACGAGAAAGGCACGGCGGAGGGGGACCTGGTGCAGGCCAAGAAGAAGGCGCGCCTGGCGGCGGCCAAGACCCACGCCAAGGAGAGCAAGAAGGGCGACTCCACGTACTACAAGACGCTCATGCAGGCCTTCATGGACAAGGCCGCCGAGTCCCAGAAGAAGCCAGAGGAGGACGCCGAGGGCGGCGACGACGAGGAGTGAGCTGTCTCGTGTGCGCGTCTTCTAGTTACGGAGGCCGGGCCATCCTAATCATCATATTCATCATCATCATCATCATCATCATCAGCAGCAGCATCATCATCATCATGATCAGCATCACCATCTTCATCATCGCCAACATCATCATCCTCGTCATCAGCATCATCATCAATAGCATCAGCATCATCATCATCTTCCTCATCCTGTACCGTGTGTTTCTCTTTTGTTCCCTACGTATCATCGTGGCACTTTTCTTATGATTGCTATGGTTATTATTTTTAGTTTTATCATCATTATTATTATTGTTACTATTCAGATGTTCCTTCTTCTCGTTCGAGCCCTTCTGCCCCCTTTCTCTCCCCAGCCCCTGGGCCTCCCACAATGGGCGCTAGGATGATCACCGCGTCGCGCCTCGCAGAGGGGGCCTCAGAGGTCCAGTGGCGGCGTTGCCGCCATGTGACCTTTTAGGACAGTTGTCCCGAAGGTCCCTCGCCGTTTCTGGGGTCTTTGTGGGGGCCCTCCCCTTGGCCGCATGGCCATCAACAAAACGACCTAGGATGAAGAGCGTGTCCCAGGTCAGCCCCAGGGATCAGTTCCCGATTTCTGATGCCGAGGCGAGGAAGGGAGAGGAGAAGGAGGAAGAGAAAAAGGAGGAGGAGGAGGAGGAGGAGGAGGAGGAGGAGGAGGAGAAGAGATCGAAGAAGGAAGGAGGGGAGGAGGAGGCGAAGGAGAAGGAGGGAGGAGAAGGAGGCAGGGGGAGGAGGGAGTGAGAACGAAGGATGAGGAGGGGGGAGGCAGAGACGTACAAGATGAGGAGGCGTAGGGTTACACGGTGCTCAGAGGGAAAGGAGGAGGAGGAGGAGACGGAGGAGGATAGGGGAGGAGGGGGAGCCGAGGAGGAGGTACGAGGAGGAGGCGGAGAAGAGAGAGAAGAAGAGGAGAAAACAGAAGAGGGGGCAGGAGGAGGGAGGAGGGGCAGGATGAGGAGGAGGATGAGCAGGAGGGGGGGGGGGAGGGGAGGGAGGAGAGGAGGAGGAGGAGGAGAGGAGGAGGAGGAGGAGGAGGAGGAGGAAGGACGAGGAGTTGGAGGAGGAAGGACGAGGGGGAGAAGCAGGAACGACGAGGGAGAGAAGGAGGAAGAGCTGGGAGGAAGACGTGAAGGACGAGCATGGGCAGGTGGAGTTCGCAGAGTGTGATCGGGGGATCAGGGAGCGCTGGAGGAGGAGAAGTAGGAGGAGGAGCAGGGGGAGGAGGAGGAGGAGGAGGAGGAGGGAGGAGGAGAGGAGGAGGAGGAGGAGGAGAAGGATAGGAGGAGGAGAGGAGATAGAGATTGAAGGGGACGGTTGGAGGAGGAAAGGAGGATGGAGGAGGAGGACGCGGAGGGGCAGGAGGAGGGGGGAGGCGGAGGAGGAGGAGATGGCGGAAAGGCGGAGGAGGAGGAGGAGGAGGAGGAGGAGGAGGCAAGAGGAGGAGGATGAGGAGGAGGAGGAGGAAGTGGAGGAGGAGGAGGAGGAGGAGGAGGAGGAGGAGGAAGACAGGCACTAGCAGGAGAAGGAGCAGAGAGTGGCGTACGAGCAGTGCAGCGCGATCCCCTCCTCCGCGTCCCGCTGCTCGTCCTCCTCCCTCTCGTCCTGCTCCTCGCGAGCACGCTGCTTCCCACGTCGCGGCCAGTCCACGGGGGCAGCGAGGGGTGGCAGGGCAGGGCGGGGGGGTGGGCTCGGGCAATTAGTGAGTGGGGCTCTTTGGGGCGGGGAACGTCGCAGGGAGGGGGGAGGCCGGGAACTGAGGGAGATAGCGAGGGCAGCAGTGACATTTTCGACCACGCGTCAGAGTGACCTTTCGCTGGACCTGGAGTGACCTTTGGTGCGGACCCATTGGGGGTCCCCCGATCGCCGAGCGCGATGCGACAGTAGCGCCTTGCGCGCTCGTGTTTGGTCGTTCCGCGGCCCAAAAAAAGCAGCGTACCAAATATTACTCTTACCCAGGGTCACTCCTGCGCGTAGCCGAACACTACATCAGAGTGAGGGGGGCGAGCGGTCTTGTTCCGTCCCTGGTCGCGTAGATGAAGTAGGGCTCCGCGGTGAGGCTTCTTGTTGCTGCCTCGCTCTATTGTCGTCCCGCCCGCGGCCCACCCTGCGACCCCCCTCCCCGTGATTCAGCCACGGCCAACCCGCGACCCAGCCGCGACCCGTCCGCGATCCACCCGTAATCAATGCTTTTGACGAACCATCGGCACCGGCGGCGGCTCTCTTTAAGTCTGAGTTCGAGCCTCGCGAGCTGCTGGCGACCCCCCTTTCGCCCACCCCCCCCTCTCTCGCATCCGCAAGGGTGTGGGCGATGGTTCGCTGACAGATGGGCGCGGGGGGGGGGGGCATCGGATTCGCAGATAGCTGAAGCGAGTACGCGTATGGACGGGTGGGTGAGTGGACGGCTGGCTTGGGAGGGGGGCGAGGGGGAATGCGCGGGCAGGGCAGCGGAGAGGAGGTCCGCGTCGTCTGCTCTGCCGCTCGCGCTGCGCAGCCGTGAGCGCCGGCAGTGCCGCCTCGGGGCCGCACGGGCCACCTCCTGGAGAGGGGGCGAGCTCCACGGCGCCCCGCCCCGACGCGCAGGGCAGATCTGCCCTGCACGCAGGGGAGGCGCGGCCGCAGGCGTGCCTGCACGAAGCGTGGAGGCTGCCTGGAGAGGGGAGGGTGAGTGGGCAGGGCCGGGCCCAAACGGTGTTTCTGGAGATTTCGTGGGCCGTTCTCGTTTCGACCTCCGTTTTTCGGTACAGTCGGGGCCCTGAAGAAGGAACCCTTTTGGTTGGAGAGGGGCTCCGCGTTCCTTAAGTGTTTCACAGCTTGCCTCAGGTTTTCCTTATGTCTTCGATCGGACATTGGAGTATAACTTAGGTCAACGCCCCGATGGTAAAGGCGGATTCGAGACAAGAGCGAAGGAAAACGAGGACAACACGAAAGCGAAACACACCGTGTAGGTCAGCCCTGCGATGGGGGGGGGTCCCTAGGGAGAGCCCGCCCGCGGAGGGGCCCGCGCCGCCGCGCGGAAGGCGAAGCTGCTCGAGCACCTGCTGAAGCTCTGCTCGCACTACCAGGACCGCCGATGCCTGCGCGCCCAGGGCGCGGGGTAATTGACGAGCGAACAACACACACACCATACCCATAAGGGGGTCGTTGGGAGGAGGACCGGCTATGGGTATGGGTGCTTGTTGTCGGACCCTAGGGGACGCTCCCGTTCGAGCGGGGACCCCCATCCGACAACACGCACCCATAGCCCTCTCCGACCCCCTATGGGTATGTTTGTGTGTGTGTTGTCGGCTCGTCAGTAATGCACCGACGCGAGCAGCAGTTCGGGGTGAACCGAGTTGTGCAGAGGCGTCGTGGAAGACGATCGATGGAGAGGAGGCAGATTGCCAAATCGTTGCCAGATGGCTAGCGCATGATTCAGACATGTCTCTGAAGTGCTAGAACATGCTTCTGACATGTTCTGACATGTCGGTGACATCTTAAATTCATGTCTAACTCAAACAAGAGTACGGTTCGAGTGCCCTTTGACATGGTATCCACAACAGAAGTGTGGGCCAGGAGTAGGCCATCCTTCGCGAGTCCTGGGGGGAACGGTTCGGGAGTGGGTTCGGAGCGCGCGGGTGGGGTGGGGGGGGGGGACGAGGCCGACAGGGTGGTGTGCTCACGGAACACTGTAGCAGAGCAGTGCGATGGACGATGCGGCCGACAGGAAGGCAGCAATCATCGACATTCCATTCGTTTTGGGCGCATTGGGTTTTCTCGGCAGCGTCCTTGGGAGGTTCCGTGGCACTTGGAGTCGCCTTGGGGTGGTCTTAGGGGCTCTTTGAGACATGCTGGCGTTCATCTTGAGCCATCTTGGACTCTCTTGTGTCATCGTGGAGGTCGTACGGTTGTTGTCTGGTGCCCTCTGGAGGCTGTCTTGGGTCACCTTTGACCCTTGGACCGCTCGCGGGGGAAGGGCCAACACTTTTTTCAACAGGAGAGAAGGTGGTTGGAAGAACGAACTTGCGATACTACCTTAGCCCAGAGGGCCGGTGGATTTTCCGCCAGCGGGGGGGTTTTGTGCGACCTTTGCACGTGTGGCAACCTGGCCGCTGGGATGTGGCAAACCCGTCGAAGCAATGGAAGGTGGAAGCACGGGGGCCCGATTCCTCCTGCTCCTCCTCCTCTTCCTCCTCCTTCTCCTCCTCCTCCTTCTCCTCCTCCTCCTCCTTTCCTCCGCCTTCTCCTCCTCCTCCTCCTCCTCTTCCTCCTCCTTCGCCTTCTCCTCCTCCTTCTCCTCCTGCTCCTCCTCCTCCTCTCCTCCTCCACCTCCTCTCCTCCTTCCCCTCCTTCTCCTCCTCCTCCTCCTCCTCCTCCACCTCCTCCTCCTCCGCCTCCTCCCCCTCCTCCTCGTCCTGCTGCAATTTGCCCATGGGAGTGAAGCCTTGAGATCAATGTGCAGGTGCTTCGGGATCGCCCTGCAACTGTGACGGGGCCGGCGCCCCGGGGGTCCCGGAGTGGCTTTGTGCCCTGGTGGCCGGCCAGGTGGGCGGAGGCCTCCAGCAGCCAGCCGTGCGCGGCGGCCCCAGGGGCTCGATGCTGCTCAGCAGGGGCCCGACGCGGACCCTCATCGGGATCGGCCTGCAGCCGATGCCCCGAGGGGGGCTCCCGCGGTGACCGGGTGCCGTGGTGGCCGGGCCACAGGGGCGGAGGCCCTCGAGCAGCCAGCCGTGCGCGGCGGTGGCGCAGTCTCCATGCTGCCCAGCAGGGGCCCGGCGGGCCCGCAGCGGGATCGGCCCGGCGGGTACGATGTCCCGGGGGGGTCCCGCGGAGGCCCGCGGGCGCAGGGCGCGAGGCAAGAGCCCGAACATGGCAAGACACCTCCCGTGGCGATTTAGCGGGCGAAGAAGGGTATAACATAATTTGTTTCGTTGCCAGGGGCCCCTGCCCCTGGGCGGTTGGAAAGTTCATACCCCTACGCTGCCACCGCAGGAGTATAAACTTTCCAGCCGCCCTGGGACAGGCGCCCCCGACAGCGAACAAGCTTATGTCA